CGCCAGGATCCGGACGGCCATGCTCAGGCGGCGGTCCCCTCAGTGGCAGATGTGGTCCAAACCGCGTCCAACACCGTCACCCATCACCCGCCGCAGGTCGACTCCGGCCCATGGACATTTCCCTCATACAACCCGCGCTACCTCCGATCGCAGCGCCCATGGCGAACACTCGTGAGTCCAGCTCTAGTGTTCCCACGGTCCAGCGTAAGTTTCTTGATAAAATCACACGCGGCGAATATATTGAGCTGGAGGATCTCCTTCCAGAGAATGTGGGCGCAGGGTCCGAGCCCTTGGCGCTCAGTACCGCCAACGGAGAGGGCCGGCGTGTGTCCCTCAATTTATGTGCGACTACGAAGCGCTCCATTGTCGACTTCACTGCCTGGCTGGAAGCCTACACAATCTACATGGCCTGCGCACTGAAACATGTGCCATTCCGAGCACTGGAGCTGGTGACGTACCAGCACATTATCTGTACTGCCAACCAGCAGTTTGCGACCCCAGCTGTACTGGGGTATGACCGTGCCTTCCGTGCAGCGGTGGCAACAACCTCGGCTCGTTGGGACGCAATCGACCAAAGCCTCTGGAGCCTGCACCTGATCCGGGCACCCCGACCATCATGTCCGCGCTGCACAACGCATCACAGTCGTGACCGTTGCCCACAGTATTTGGCAGGGCCACATGCTCCAGCTGGCACCAACACCAGCCGTCCTACGCAGCCATTTCTGGCCGGGGCGGGCAGCACCCGCCAGATCTGCCTCAACTTCAACCGTGGCCGCCCATGCCAACACCAGCCCTGTGAACGCTTGCACGTCTGCTCAACCTGCGGCGACCGAGGTCATCCCGCCGCTCGCTGCACAAACGACGGTCGCCGGGGACCCCGCCAGACGGACAAGCCCGTCGCAGCGAAGTAGTCTCCCCACGCCTCTGTACATAGCCCGCCTAATGACTCTTTTGCCTCGTATTTCTAATCGTGTCCTCTCTGACTTTATCCTTAATGGCTTGCAGCACGGGTTCCCCATTGGCCACTCTGGTGCTTCTGTATCTATCATCTCTGGCAACCTCCCAACTGCCATTGAACATACTCAGTTTGTACAACAACAAATTGCTGACCGGGTCCGACGTGACGAATCGGCCGGTCCTTTCTCGGTCCAGCCTTTCCACCCATTTGTATGCTCTCCGCTCGGCGTAGTGCCCAAGAACAACGGAAAAGTCCGCCTCATTCACCACCTGTCTTACCCTGACCGTATGTCTGTCAATGATGGAATAAACAAGGATTCGTTCTCCCTTTATTATGTCACAGTGGACGATGCCATTGAGCGTCTGCAACGTCAAGGTACCGGTGCCTTGATGGCGAAGCTCGACATACGCAATGCATTTCGACTGGTCCCGGTCGCACCCACTGCATACCATTTGTTGGGTTTCCAGTGGCAGGGCCAATTCTACTATGACAAAGTACTGCCATTCGGCCTGAGGTCCGCACCCTACTTGTTTAACTGCATTGCGGACGCACTTTGCCAGATAAGCTGTGAACTGTTCCAGGTTCCCCACCTCCTGCACCTTCTGGACGACTTCTGGCTCTGTGGCCCCGCAAACTCAACGCTATGTGCGCAGCGTCTGAACGTAGTCCTCTCCGTATTCCGCTACCTGGGAGTTCCCATTGCCGACGAAAAGACAGTCGGCCCAACCTCCTGTCTCACCTTCCTGGGCATCGAACTGGACTCCGTCCAGAAAGTGGCTCGTCTCCCACAGGACAAGGTTGACGACAGCCGCTCCAGACTATTGGCTTTTCGCCAACGCCAATCCTGTCGTCTACGGGAGCTTGAACAGCTGTTGGGCAAGCTGAACTTTGCCAGCCGCGTCATCACGCCGGGCCGTACATTCATGCGCCGACTGTATGATGCCACGCGCAACGTTACCAAGCCCTACCACCGCATCCGTCTCTCTCCAGAATGTCATCTGGACCTTCTTTCGTGGTCTCACCTACTCGATGGCTGGAATGGCAAGTCATTCTTCCTCGATCTCCAGGAGACGCTGGCCAGCGACATCCTGATAGAAACTGACGCATCTGGCGCCATTGGGCATGGCGCATTGGTTCGGCGACACCTGGTCACCACAACACACTCCGCTCTGCATTACGTTCAAGGAGCCTTACCCCATCTGCATTGCATGTGCTACGTGGGGCCACCAGTGGTGTTGCAAGCGTATCCGCTTCCATACCGACAACGAAGCTGTCGCCGCTGTTCTCAAGTCTGGCACCAGTCGCTGCCCTAATGTGATGTCACTCCTACGGCAGCTCTTCTTCATCTGCGCCAAGGGTAACTTTATGGTCACCGCCCGTCACATACCGGGAATTACCAACATCCTTGCTGACGCTCTCTCCAGGCAAGATTTCAAGCGATTCCATTCGTGCCACCCTACCGCCGTTCACATGCCCACTCCCGTGCGTGCTCTTCCGTCCATTCCTGGGGAGACTTCGGCCGTGCCTAGCACAGCCGAGTGAAGGAAGCCCACATGCAAACTGCCATGAAAGCTGGCAGCACCGGTCCTGGGTAAGCGCTGATCAGACAGACTGAGCCCACTTACTGTGGGTGCCAGAGCATAACCGAATGTCACCTATGTACCGACTGTACACTCAGTAACTCATTATCACTCTACTATTGTCCACAATCTGTGGCTTCCCCTCTACAGTTAACAGTGAATAGGAGGTTCTCTATTTGGGGAGTCAACCTTGCTTACCAGGCTCCTCATACGGCTCATTTAGCCTCTCACACTCAGACGGCTCACTCAGCCTCGGCTCACTCAGTCTCGGCTCACTCAGCCTCTCAATACGGCTCACTCAGCCTCCGCAGCCGGGCCCTGCCCGGCTGCCTCCATATGGCTCACTCAGCCTCCGCAGCAGGGCCCTGCCCAGCTGCCATACACACACATTCACACAGCTCTAAGCTGTCACTCACTCGGAGCCTGGCAAAGCAATTGACAAACCCTCCTATTCCCCAAACTGGTTGCTCGTTGTGTGAGTGCGGCATGCAGATGCTTGTGTTAAATGATTTTTTGCGCACGCGCAAAAATATGTTAACACAGAAGGCGCATGCTCTGTTCCCAACAACCTCTCACACGCTCATTGTTCTCCGAAGTCCACTGTTCCTGACTTCAGTTCTTGCTTTGTCCGCATTGGCAGTGAATTTCTTTCTCAACCCACCCACCCACTCCACTATTGTTATCATCATGTTTCCTATTCTAGTTCTCTCCTGTCGGTATCCATTATCATACCGGCCTACAATAACTACACCGATGCCGTCTACCGGCGAAACTCTGTAAATACATGGAGGGGAGTCAACCTTGCTTACCAGGCTCCTCATACGGTTCATTCAGCCTCTCACACTCAGACGGCTTACTCAGCCTCGGCTCACTCAGCCTCTCAATACGGCTCACTCAGCCTCTCAATACGGCTCACTCAGCCTCCGCAGCCGGGCCCTGCCCAGCTGCCTCCATACGGCTCACTCTGCCTCCATACGGCTCACTCAGCCTCCGCAGCAGGGCCCTGCCCAGCTGCCATACACACACATTCACACAGCTCTAAGCTGTCACTCACTCGGAGCCTGGCAAAGCAATTGACAAACCCTCCTATTCCTCAAACTGGTAGCTCGTTGTGTGAGTGCGGCATGCAGATGCTTGTGTTAAAAGTAGATGTGCGCAATAACTAGCATTCAGAATCTATAATTATTGTTAGCTTGTTGGACATCTTTGGGCAATTAAAAGCTGTTGACTTGGAAAAGAAGCAAGCCCATTAATCAGTGAAGCCATAGGTATACAGAAGCTATCCCTTGTTCTTCCCTAAATCACCACTGATGACTAAACAAACAATGGAGAAGACGAAATGGATTGAGTCCAAGGAGAGCAACAAAATCGTTGCCAAATCTTTCGAAAAAGACGTTGACACACGCAGAGTGCTGGGTAACGTCTCTGACGACATGAGTGTACTGTGTGCGGTCCAACTTTCTTTACTGGTATGCTAGATATGAATGAAGGGCCTGTGCATTCAATCGAGGAGTACGCACAGCTTTTGTTCAAACCATCTGTTCACTGATATGTTTGCCGGATTGGTTCGCTGGCAGTGCACGCCATCTGTCGTTATGAAACAGAGCATAACGATTCTCCGACTAGTCGCTGCCTGAGCTTCAAACAGCGATTACCGTCTGATTATCGTTTCAGATCAGTAGTGTATAGCGGTAATAAGAAGTTCGCACAAAGCCTGGTCTAGTAGGACATTTTAGTTCCAGTCAAGCGGTCTACGTCCATCACTGAACTTCCTGTGCCTTGTGAGAATCTACACACTCCTGGATAAGGACAAAGATCGCTAGGACTGCTGTTGGCAGCCGCATGTGCGGAGGTTCCGTCACGGATGATCTGGCCTTGCGTGGCAGAGATCACCGATGCACGCACTTCATGTACTGAGGACTCATAATTATGGCCATCTATATGTATGTGCCCAAAAGGAGTCTCGTTTCTCCACTCTTTGTACCAGTCCTCTACAACATATATAGTACTTCTTTTATTCTGTACCATTTGGTTGTGAGCTATTTTACTGCTTAGCGATCTGATGCTCGGCATCCGTTCCCTTATCACTGGAAAGTTCTCTCCTTCTGGTTGCGAGTTGAAACTATTCCACGTCAAAGGTGGTCTTCGCTACATGTAGGTAGGCAAGTCACCATTTGCTTCCCACTATTATAACGGAGTCCAGAGACAGCGGTAGCCGGGTTTCTTTCGTTTAGCTTTTGGTAATCGACCGGCCGTTTCAAGAATACTGGTTTCCTACTTCTTACGGACAAAAGGCATCAGCGGCTGACCATAACTCAAATGTGTGGTGACTCCAGAAAATGAGACCTACACATCATTGGCAGGTGATGTCTGCCAAAGGGGTTATTTTCTTCGCAGCACTCCTTACGCTGCTGACAGCCAATGAAGTGTCAACACAGGACTTGGACCGTAAGTGCTTAGTTGTGATAATAATGAATATGATTGATAATGTATCATTTTGATTATTATGCACTCAAGGTTAACTGCCCCCGTGCAAAGTTCACCGTATTTTCTCAGTTTGGGGAAACGGAAGAGAACACTTTGAACAGGATTTTTTCATTACACGTTTAAGATAGAAGCGTAATCTGTTCCCAGCCCTAATGATGAGTCAAAACAAGTTTTTAACAGCTACATATGGGCAGCGATCACCTAAAGCATGTCTTTGGGTTGTCTTTGGGTTGTCGTGAAAATTAAGAAATGAATGAACTAAATATATTTCTGTGAAGGTCGTTGACGCTGCGCTTCATTCATCAACTGGAGGCAATCACCTTCTCGAACTTACTTCGTTCAAACACTAAATTTACGGCTTAGTTCTAGTCTTGCTGTCTCCTTGAAGTAGCTAGCAAACAAAAGCTGACAATGCTCGTGTCACACTTGAGCAGCATGCAGCGCCAGACGATTGCTGTGCATGGTTCGTTCAGTGTCAGGGAGGTCATGGCAGCGGGTGAGCAGAGCGATGATGAAACATTTTTTGGATCTAGTAGTTAATGGCGAACACAAGTAGTTTCACACGACGTAAGTTTCGCCGTATATGTTGGAAGGGTGTTGGTCTTCGCCTTGGTGTCAGGTCGCCGAAAGTCTCAATACTCCTTGCAAAGTTAGTCATAACTCGTAACATTTTTCCCTTCTCCTCTTTCACCATAACTTAATTGGCTCACCATCTGAGTTGACTATTGTGGTGTTTGTAACCACAGACATTGTGAATCACCCCAGGGCCAGACTATTGTCGGTAATTTGAGACTTTTGGAATTGTCGAATGACCGCACTTGGCATTCATCCATTCATGCATGTTAGCTATCTTGTGTGTTTGGATTACCTCTATTATCCTCCTTTTAGTATTGCTCTACTCTGTAGTATTCTGTTACTAGTGGCGTACTGGACAAGTCAACTACGGTTGTGCTTTGATTTGGGTGTTGTACGTCACGGACTAAAACACTACAGTGGCGACGAAGATTTTGTTTTTCTAGCGTGCTCCGAGTATTACTATTATTAGCTTTGGCTATGGCGACTAATGGACACATTGAGTTGTTTGATATCACTGGCGGAAACTGGCCTACGTACAAACTACACTTGACGCAGTATTTGGCAGCCAACGGCATCGATGATAATGACCTGAAGCGAGCAACGATGCTCACGGTCATCGGAGGTCCAGCATTTGAACTGCTGCAAGATTTGCTGGCCCCGCACACCCCAACTGACAAGACGTTTGCGGAACTCTGCGCCGCTTGTCATTGGAGAACGATACCGATTCTACCAGAGGGATCAACGTCCAGGAGAATAGATCGCCGCCTACGTGGCTGAACTTCGATGTTTGGCAAGGCCCTGCGAGCTCAATGCCCATCTGGCAGAAGCTCTGCGAGATCGCTTCGTCTGCGGACTGAGGAGTGCAGGTACGCGGATGAAACTCCTGGCCACGGACTCTCTGACTTTCGACAACGCCGTCAAGGACGCGCTGGCTGATGAGCTGGCCACCAGTAGGGTCCGGTGTAATATGCCCAAAACTTTGCCGAAAATTCTTTTGGGAAATTCTCGTAAACCTTGCCGGAAATGCTCGGAAAATGCTCACATTTTTGTAATCCTCAGCACACGCCGTCAAAAGACTCAAAACCAGGGAGTCAGAAAATACCGGTATTTTACGACTCCCTGGTCAAAACCATTATAAACTACCCAACAAGAAGCTAACCCACAGAATGCGGAAGTGACGTTCTTGTTTGGGAAGTTTTTCTGCTCTCAGTTTTGATACACAAGGACCAAGTGCTCCGTTTCCCCCAAAATGCTGCATCACGAGCCCAAAGTGCTGGGTTCGCGGATTGTACCGAAAATGCTCAAAAAATGCCGTCATATTACACGGGGGCCTAGCCACCAGGGACGATCTGGAAGTGTCCGCGACGGATACGAAGAACGCTAGCGGTGATGTCCACAAACTTCGCACCCCATCGCGAAATCCTGTGCCTGGTGCATGATCTACGTGTGTTCGCTGTGGTGGCGTGGGGCACAAGGCGCCTGACTGCCGCTACAAGGACGAGTTTTGCAATGCGTATGGTAAGACAGGCCACTTGCAGCGGGTTTGCCGAAGCACGCCAGCTGAGCTGCCAAGAGCGCGACCCACTCCGCGACCCAGGTGATTCAAGAGCAAAGGCTCAGCGATGACAGGCCACAATTATTTGTTTGCGAGCTACGACGACGACCAGTCCAGCATTCGCTATGTGCGTGTCTCCAAGATACAGTCCAGCGGAAAGCCACCAGCACCACTCACGATAACCGCACAGATCGTGGGACAGGAGTTATTTATGGAAGTAGACACGGGCGCTGGTGTCTCTTTTTTACCAGCCGCAACATACGGGCACTTGTTCTCGGAACACCCGCTTCGCCCAGCAAAACTGGTGCTGCAAGCTTACAACAGTGAATCGCTACGATCGCAAG